ACATTTTTGCCTTTTTTAAAAATTATACATCATCAGAAACTCGTAAAACAAAGAATTCTTTTACCAAAAGAAGAATCTCGCAAACGTTTACCACGCCTACATCCATGGGCGCCCGCAGAAAATTTTCTAGGGGGGGGGGGCAAAAAAAAATCAATTAACTTTCCAGGGGGGGGGGCAAACAATTTTTTGTAATGTTTTAAAATTGTTTTAATTTTGGCTTACTTACTTACTTTGTTTTGCATTTTTACCCGGGGGGGGGGGGCTTTAGGCCGTCCACAAGAATTTTCCATTCATCACGGTCCTGTGCTTTCCTTTCCAGTTACTTCCAGATGTAACCCATCCTCTGCGCGTAGGACTTTAGCTCACGTCTCCATGTAATCTTTGGCCTTCCCTTCTTTCTTTTTCCCTGTGGATTCTATGTTAGGCATTGTCTGGTGATGTAATCAGGGGGTTTTCGGAGAGTGTGCCCTATACAGTTCCATATTTTCTTTATGATGTCTTCATCAATGGGCACCTGGTATGTCCTTTCCAGTAGATCTTTGTTGGTGATGGTATTAGGTCATATGATGTTCGGGATCTTTCTAAGTAGGTACCTCAAACTGTTTTTCAAAACCGTCCTATACCTTTATTTTATACTGCCTTGTCAAGAATTCATGATTCTAAGAACGCGGATACCAAACTTGTTCAAATAACTCAATAAGTAAAAAAAAAAAAAAAAAAGGTTTGTGGGGGGGGGTTCAGTGCCCCACCTTGCCACTACGTGCGGGCGCCCATGCCTACATCAGTATTGACTGACTTAAAAAAAAAATTAAATTGTTGATCTCATAAATATACACACCTCTTTACTTTTTATAAAGTAAAAACAAAAATATATTTTCATTTTTGAAAGTAAATATAAACCCATCCCTATTTTTTCAAAATTGATTTTTCAAGTGTGTCAAAGGATTGGATTTTGATATTCATGTGTGTACTCATGTAAATGTACCCACTTTTTGCTAACGACATTGATTTTCATAATTGTTAAACGTAATGTTTATTTGTAAAAAAGATAATGTAACATTTCTTTTTTAAAACTGTAATATCGTTGGATTTAAAGATATTGTCATCCACGTAAAAATGTACACATCCTACCACCGATATGTATGTACCCAAGAAGGTTAATTATTAATCAAATTCATTCCTTTATTCTGAGCCATTTTTTGTTCTGCTTCGTGCAAATTGAAAGTATGGAATTTCATACACCCAGATTTTAATAAAAAGTAATAAAAATCTTCCATGAGATTGTAGCCCTCTACGTAAGCAAACACATATTTTTTGCACTTCATAATGTTTGTTATTATTTGGATGAGTGATAAGTGCATTAATTAATGCTATTTAGCTATACACTGATTGCCACGGCATTTAAAGATTAAGTATTTATTACGTTATAAATGTAAAAAAAAAAAGTATATTTTTTTTAATTTAAAAAAAGGAGTACAAACTTATTAAATGTTTAAAAGACAAAGCTATAATTGTGTGTGTTTTATTAACAATTTAACAAGAAATCAATTATATATATTAATTTTACTTTTAAGAAGGGGGAAATACATTATCAGTTTTGTCACGCGTGGTTAATTAAATCAAAGAAACCAGGAGCTTTGGCTGAAATAGGCAGTTCGCGCTAATACGTCATTTGCATGATTATTTAGAACAAGTTAATGTATATTGGCTTGTGTTGCTTATGGTTGAAACGGGATGAAAGACTTTGACTGGATATGCTCGTATGTAGCTTTATATTGTTGCGTCTGTTTTTAAATGTGGTAAACTTTAGATTGTTTTTAGTTCTCTTTTTAATATGGTTGACTTTGTACCGCGCTTCGAGCTTTTGGGGATGAAGCGTGTCTTTTAAATAAACTTTATTATTATTATTATTATTATTATTAAATTAATGTAACTTTTATTTCGCATTATTAACAACGCACTAAAAACAACAGATGTTTGGTTTTCCCCTATAAATGTAATTACGATGTAATTCATAGATCATATGTTTTTAATTTTAAAAAATTTCATAACAGTCAAACTCTGATAAATGCTTAAACTAGTTCATTTATTGTTATATTAAATGCATTCTCAATTTATAATAATTAAACGTAAACATTTACTTAAATAAAAGCGGATAAAATATATTTTGCGCATTTAAATTTATTCGATTTCCGTAAAATAATAGAAAATCACAATCAGTGTGTTTAAGAATCTAAACGTATTTAAATCGTCCCATCTCTTTGGCGTTATGGTCAGCCTAGCTCATTCTTATATAAGCAAGAGAAGTCAGTGCGTAACAACATATTTGTAAAAAGAGAATGTAGCATCTCTTTTTTCCCAAATGTAATACCATATGATTTGAACATATTGTCATCCACGTGAAAACGTACATATCCTATTTCCTATCTCCGAAATGTATGTTCCCAAAAAGGTTAATTATTTATCAAATTCATTCCTTTATTTTCAGACGTATCTTTTGCTGCCTGGGGCAAAGTAATCAGCCCCTCCCCCAGCCAGATTTGAATACATTTAGAAAAATCTTCCACCGGATTGTTTGATTTGACTTGATATTTATATAGCGCTGGTATCCATGCCACTTTAGCTTGCTCACTGCGCGCTGGTATCCAGGCCACATTCCTCCGAAATCTATTGAAACAAAGAGATTTTAATTGTTTCTTAAATGATTTTTTATCATTTACAATTCCTCTCAAAGATTGAGACAAACTGTTCCATAATTTTGGCTATCGCTTCAAAAGAGCGTACTCAGTAAGACTTTTTCTGTATTCATCCACTCTAGGAACTCTCAGTAAGTACTGTGTTGAAGACCGCAGGCTCTTCAGAGGTACATGTTTATAAATCAGTTCCTTGAGATGTATCGGTGATGAGCCATTTATGTAGCTGTACGCCAGGGACAGAATTTTGCAGTTAATGTAGTCCCTTCCATACCCAAACTAAAATAATTTGCACTTCATACGGTTCGTACTTTTTTTGTTTTGGTTATAAGTGGATTAGTCAATGCTATTTGGCGTTGGAGTTGCGCTGCACTGTTTGACTTAAACCGCATTTTCTTATCAGAATTATATTTAAATTTTAGTTTTTATTACGTAATAATTTTGAATGTATATTTTTGGAATAAAAAAAGGCAAAACTTTTTAATGTTAATATACACAGTTGAAATGTGTGTGTGTTTTATTAACAATTTAAAAAGGAATCAATTGTATTAATTAATTTTTATTTTAAGAAGGGAAAATATATTTTCAGTTTTGTAACGCCTTGTTATTAAATTTAAAGGAACCTTAGAGTTTTGGAGAAATAAGCAGTTCGCGCTATGACGTCATTTGTGTGATTATTTAGATTAAATTTATTTAAAAAATTATTTCGCAATATTAAAAACACACTAAAAACGCACTAAAAACAACTGATGTTTGGGTTTTCCCGATTAATGTGATTACGGTGTATTTCTTTGAAAATATGTTTTTAAATATTTTTTTCCATACCTTTCAAGCGCATAAAAAATGCTTAAAATAGTACCTTAGTCGATACTTTTAATGTATTTGTAATTTATGATAATAATATTTAAACTTTTACTAAAATAAAAGTGGATTTTAAATATTTTATGCGCATTTAAATTTATCCGGTTTCCGTAAAATAATAGAAAATAACTATGATTATTTTTAGGAATCCGAATATACTTAAATAGTATCTCCCTTTTATTTTAGTAAAAGTTTAAATATTATTATCATAAATTACAAATACATTAAAAGTATCGACTAAGGTACTATTAATGTATTTGTAATTTATGATAATAATATTTAAACTTTTATTGTTATGTGTCTCTTGCTCTTCCTTTTATATATATATATATATATATATATATATATATATATATATATATATATATATATCAAATCTAATACAGTTACTGTATACTGCACTTCATATGGTTCGTATGGTTCAAATCTAATACAGTTACTGTATACTGGGCGGCCGAGCAAATGTCAAGTTGATGGACTGGATTTCAATTCCCATCAAAGACCATTCAAGCAAAAACACCACCAACACCCCAGGTGGATGGGACTCCTTAACCTTGGGTGCAACTCATCTAAGAGATGGAAACTCTGAATTCAAACCCGGAGATGGAGTCCCGTAGGTGGATAACATTGGTAAAATGAAACATTCCTACAATTCCTGCGACGCCACTGGTGCCAAGCTGTATCATTACCCGTTGGGTTATCCAGAGGCGTGGAAAGAGGCGATTTGCTGTTGGGAACCAGATTATGATCCTAGAAAAATAATTCCAGGCCTTGTGGATTTTTGTCCTGCAGAGTCCACACCATAGTCATATTGTGAAGGACGGATGCCAGCAAAATACAGGAAAATCCCGATTGACGAAGTCCTTAAAAATAGTTTATTTGCGACGCTGTATTCGTCATATGTCAGCCCCATTTATATTTACAATTTTTATTTGGCAGGTTTGGTTCATTTTCAGTTTGTGCCGTATCAGTTGTATTAAGCTGAAGGATACCAATTTTGAGATATAGCCGTTTCAAAAACGACTCCAGCATTAGAGAACAAGTCCAACCCACTGCGTCAAATGTAACATTTGATAAGTATGTATTTAGAAATTCGTGGTCTTAGACCAGGGGTCGGGAACCTATGGCTCGCGAGCCAGATGTGGCTCTATTGATGGCTGCATTTGGCTCGGAGACAAATGTTCGATTATTAAAAAAAAAGTCGCATTAATGGTAAGAAATACTCTCAGACAAAAAGGTTCCCGACCCCTGTCTTAGACACTCAGTTCCCTTTTTGAACTAGTGTTAAGTCTTCAGTGTAACATCCAGACTAGTTTTAGGCTTAACATAATTCGATCATAAAATAAATATTTTTTTTTATTGGATTAATGTTATGTAGCACGATTTCCTGTGCGTAAACTTTCCTCGACCTTGTAGTACACCCCTAGCAGACAGTAACGTCTGTTGTGGGCGTGGCTATATCTCTTTGAAGTAGCTTGTTTACAATCGGCTACAAATTACGCATTGGATAGAATGTCTCCGGGCACTTCTCGAATGTACTCCTTAACCCGAGATATGTAAACAACACGTCATAGGTCCTTCTGGAAGCGTCTTACGCTACATGTATATAAAGGATTGACAGGTACGAAGGGACGGAGATTTTAGATAGATTTTCTTAACATTACGAGGCGTGTTTTATTCTTTGTGTATTTGTGTGCTCATATGTGTTTATTTCGCATTATTTATTGGCATCATTATTTCTAACTGTATTAACTGTGTACCGGTACGAGATCTACCATACCGTAAGTTGAAGATTGTCATTATATTTTCTTTTCTTTTGTAATTATTTTAAGCCTTAATAAATCTTATTAATTGTAACTAGAAACTGTTTTGGGTCGTATCTTTAATATTGTTGATTATATGGTATCGTCCTTTGTTAGGCACTGTTTACAACGAGCCAATTAAAATTAAAATAGGAGATTAATTTCTTCCAATAAAAGTCAGTGCGTAACAATTAAGTAAAAAATTAAAAAAAAAACCGTTTAACTATTCCACTGGCTAGTGTTTGGTTTCATTAGAATATAGCTGTTTAACTATTCCACTGGCTAGTGTTTGGTTTTATTAGAATATAGCTGTTTAACTATTCTACTGGCTAGTGTTTGGTTTTATTAGAATATAGCTGTTTAACTATTCCACTGGCTAGTGTTTGGTTTTATTAGAATATAGCTGTTTAACTATTCTACTGGCTAGTGTTTGGTTTTATTAGAATATAGCTGTTTAACTATTCCACTGGCTAGTGTTTGGTTTTATTAGAATATAGCTGTTTAACTATTCTACTGGCTAGTGTTTGGTTTTATTAGAATATAGCTGTTTAACTATTCCACTGGCTAGTGTTTGGTTTTATTAGAATATAGCTGTTTAACTATTCTACTGGCTAGTGTTTGGTTTTATTAGAATATAGCTGTTNCACTTGACTTTCCCCGGGGGGCCCTGCCCCCCCCCCCCGAGATATAGCTGAAAGAAACCCTGCCTGTATCTATTTAAGTTATTTAATTAGAACTTTCAAATTGCTTTTGCAAATACTCAGAAAGTCATGAAAAACAAACCCATTTTCCCCCAAGTGTTGTCAATATATTGATCCAAAAAATTTTCCGAAGCACAACGATACACAATATGTAAGGGTACAAGCAACAACAACAATATTGTAGAATACCTTTTTAATTTTGTGTGTGTGTGGTAAAAACAACAACGTAAGGTAGATACATAATCTCTAGGTCAAATGAGCCCAAAATATAAAGTATGTTATTGTGTCACCTTAAAAGGCAAATATGGAATTAACATTTCATTTAACAAGAATTTTTATCAAAAATTTTTCCCCCCCCCCCCCCCCACCCTCTTATTCGAAAATAAAAATCTTAGATTTTTTTTCAAATCATAGAAACTTAATAAATTTGGATATCTAAATAAATGTTTACAATATACTGTTGAAAATGTCATTTTTTTTTTTTAACGGGAAAGACGCAGATAATGGCTAAGAAATAAAAAAAAATGATAAGGGATTTCCACAAACAAAAAAAAAAATTTAAAAATAAAATAAAATTCTAAGATTTTAAAATTCTTATTAGATATTTGTTTTTTTAAATTTGGGGAAATCTAAAATTTAAAATTCGGAAGTGAAAAAGAAATTAGATCTAATCATTTTCAGACAATAGATTTGTAAAATGTAGACTGATTTTGTAAAACATATTAAAATGTAGAAAATTGATTGTATTAAGATTTTTATTCGATGCCATGTCAGATTAAATCAAGGTTTTTGTTCACAAAATACAAATCATGCCGTGGACCTGGGATGGCCAAAGTGCGACCCACGCGCGCGAATGCGAGCACCAATATGTTTAATGCGTGCGGCCTGTAAGACATTCTGGGAATTGCATTGTTATTATTTTTTATTATATATGCAAATTTTAAAATGATTTTTTTTAGAAACCTTGAAAATCAATAATTGCAGTTCAATACTGTCAAACTGTAACAATAATAATCATGAGAAATAAAAAAAAAAAATTATATTGCTGATTTTCCAAATAACCTGAGAGGGATTTGTCGAAACCCATCCTCCGTTGACGAATTTTCCTCGGGCCGATCTAGAAATACTAAAACCGTCGCAATTTTGAAGGAAACGAGTCCCTAATTCGTTCGTTTTCGACATTATAATAATGGGGTTTTCCAATACCATGTTTTTTATATTTATATCAATATCGATTTTTTTTTTTTTTTTAAAGTTTACCCAGCACTCAATTTTTATTTTTTAAAAATCTCTGGGATATGTTTTAAGGAAACGAATACCTAATTCGTTCGTTTTCGACATTATAATAATGGGGTTTTCCAATACCATGTTTTTTATATTTATATCAATATCGATTTTTTTTTTTTTTTTAAAGTTTACCCAGCACTCAATTTTTATTTGTTAAAAATCTCCGGGATATGTTTTTGAAAGGATAATATTTAAAATTGACATTGCTAATTGTTTCACAGTTCTGAGATTACGAATTAAGCCAAATTAATTGCTATATTTATTTGACTCCTACATAACGGAGAAAAAGGGGGGGGGGGGGTCGGGTTTTGAATCTTCTATTCTAAAAATACGGAAACAGTGGTTAGCCTCTTCTTGGTATAGAGAAGAGGGTTATTTCTCCGTGACATATCGACAAACCTGGTTTCAAAGAATCATAAACTTGTTTTAGCTTTCATTGGTCAAAAAATAAATATTTTAAAGTTTGATATCCCATTTAAGAGCCATTTCTTAATTGACAAATTGGGTTACGTGCCGGAAGTAAGCAATCACGTTTAAAAAAAAAAATCAGATTTTTTAACTTCTTATTCTAAAAATACGGAAACAGGTGGGTTAGTGTATTTTTAAAATAGATCCAGAATTCCCAGAAAAATAATCTGAACAAGCCAAGATTTCCAGTAATATTAAAAGCGTTTGACTATGACTTCTAAAAATAGAAAACGGCATTTCTAAGTAGCGATATAACACGAGTCCAAAATAAAGGGCCGCGCCCATTGGCTCGACAAGTGTGATGCAACTGTGGCACAGTAGTTAGCTATAGGAATAAGCGATACATGCTATATGTGGCACTGCTGTATGTAACCCCCACTGCAATTAAAACTAGCACAACGCTGTGTGCTGGGCCTTAAACTCTAGTTTAGTCACCCAGGCACGCAGTGATCCCCCCTGACGTGATCAACACGTGACGGTGATGTCATTATTGTCATATGTTTGCTATATACGGCAGGTTCGATCATATCCGCTCATTTTGAATTGATTGGGAGGATTTCTATACGATCGATTTCTGAATACCGTATTGTTCCGAATAAAGGGCACTCCTGATTTTACGCCACACCCTTTTCCATGTTGTTCACATTTTTTTTTAAAATTTTAATACCGGTGTTTTTATTATAGTATTTTTGGCAACATCCCTAGATCAAAGAAAAAAAAATTGGGGGGTTGGGGGGGGGGGGCGCCGGAAATTACGACCTATATTAATAACAACATGTAATATATTGAAATTTTCTATTAAAATAAAGACACTATTTTAAAAAAGTTCTTTCTATGAATCAAGTATTGGCAAAGTGTTTTCAATATCTATTTCTTCACAAAAATGATATCGACTATCGACACATCATTTTTTTTTTTAACCAGCATCTCGTCTACTGCTCTCCGAGTAAGTTTTAGTGTAGAATAATGCAAACCTAAATTCAGGTATGAACCAAAAATGCCCCCCATGCATACTGAATCTATCAAAAACATTTGAGCGATGGGCTAAATGAGCCCCAAACTTGTCCCAGCACATTAGCGTCCTCGATTACCGCCCCCCCCACCCCTTTTTCCTCGGCGATGATCAGTGTGAGAGCAGTGGCTAAAATAATAGTTTGATGCGTTTCTCTACCACAGTTAATTAATGTGGTTGTATAAGGCAGCGGGGGAAATAGTGGCTAGTTTTCACACTGATAGATAATAATAATAATAAAGTTCATTAAAAAAAAACACGCTTCATCCCCAAAGGCTCGAAGCGCGGTACAAAGTCAACAAAAAAAAACATATCTATAATTCACCACATTTAAAACAAACACAACACTACAAAAACTAATTACAAGCATACAATATCAAAGTCTTTCTAGCCATTTCAACCCGGAGCAACACAGCAACACATGGAAAATAAGGTAGACAATCATCCCAGAAGGTATTTGCGAAATAGATGTGTCTTTTTGTGTCTTTAGATCTGTTTTAAAGGACTCCAGTGTCTGGTTGTTTCTAAGATCGACAGGAAGGGCGTTCCAAATTGTTGGACCAGCAAATGCGAAAGTGCGCTTTCCGTAAGTCTCAAGGCAAACACCTTGACCCGTAAGCCCAGTCCTCACCCCACTTCGAATGCCTGAAATGTTCCTTCAAGGAAGATTTCGCATTTAAGCATACGCCCTTAGCACCCCTCCCCCAAAAACCCCCCTTTTCTCCCTCGACCATCCCCCTCCCTTTATTAATTGTGGGCAATAAATGTTTGTTCTCGTTTTAAATCTCTTTCCAAACCAAGAGATTTTTAAATTAAATTCTTATTCGATCAAATTCATCAATCGAAGAGCCAGTATTTCTTCTTCTATATCTTAAGGGCCTACGATCAATTTATTAATCATTTTGGCTCCTATGCATGTAGATGGGATTTGCAATGTTTATGTGCCTGGTGTTGATGAGGACATTTCACTGATTTCCAGTGACACTTTGTGAGGGAATCATGCACTAGGGAATCACCCACTGTTAGTTATCATGTCACTGATATTTTCATGTTTAATTTGTTTACAGTTAGTTCAATGTCTTGTCTTGAAATCTGGATTCCTTTAAAATTATCATGCCGCAAAACAAACAAAAAAACAACAAAAAACAAAAAAGAATTAATTAAATCCATGCGGCTCTCGGAGCACAAAGTGTTCCAATTCCTGCTGTAGACTTTAGACGGCAGAAAGAGGTGACAGAGGGGTTGTATCGTTAACTTGTAAAACATTGACTTAGCAGGTTTTTCAAGTCGTGACCTCCTGAATTATCCAACAATGATTTTTATCTGGCTCCCTGGAATAGATTAGTAATGGGTTCTTTTTTTAAACAAAATCGGTTTAAACTTCAAGAGTTGATGATGTCATCTTGGCTGTTGCGGTGGTGATTTAAAATTAATCCAAACATCTTTGGAACCATTCAGCTTTATCTATGTAGAAGTGTTTTCTGTTATGCTCTGTAAATTCCCTTTCATTTTATTTGTGAATTGGTCCTGGAAGTTTTTTCTTTAAAAAAATGCTTAAAATAACTATAAAACTATATTATGTTTACAGCATTTATTTTTTTTTTAAAAGGAACACTCACAAGGGACAGCTAAAAATAATCTTAAAGCCTATCTCAATTAATAATCTTGATGTTTATTTAATGAATTAATAACTTCAAAAAAAAAAAATTTAAATGTAGGCTTTTAAAAAAGTCTATGATTAAAATAATAGTTGCAAGGGGATTTCTTGTCACACTGTGGTAACAAGCCCCAACGAAACTTGTGACAAGAAACTCCATCATGGATTATCCCCCGATGACTTTATTTTATTTCGAAACATCACTGTTGAAGAAACTAACTGAAAAGGTTATAAATCGAAACTGAACCAGAGTGACTACTGCATGGGCAAAAGAAACATTCTTTATATTTATAGTATTAACTTAAGGAAATTAAACAATAAAAGTAGTCGAACAATCTACTTACCATGGTCAAAAAACATACAATTCGCTATCTTTGTTTCTTGACACGCTCAAACGGTTCGAATTTAGGCAATATATATATATACATAATGTATATATAATAGGTGTTTTAAAAGGGGGGTGGGGTGGGGGTTGGACACCTTGTCATTGTGCGTTTATTCTGTGCGTGCAACTGTTTCGTGGCTACCCCGCTCTCCCCTACTTATTCAATGAACCTTTTCTTCAACAGGTTTGATTTCACACGAATTGTTATTTACCACTAAGCACGACCATCGCGTTGTCCAGAACTATGCCTAGCATTCTCGCAAGCTTTGTTGCACTTTGTTGTGCAGTAGTTCTGCTTCTTCCAAGTGAGTCCCTTTAGTTTCTTTTACGAATACCCTGTACCACTATGTTTTTTTGTGTTTCTTCACTTTCGCCTGCTCCGTGGCGCCGTATTTCATGTACCAATCCACCCAACAAAAGGTGTTGGGATTAAGTTTTAGTCAGGAATAACGGAGATTTTTTCAAATAAATTTTTTGTGTGTTAATGGTGGAAGCCCATTCTAAATAAGACAAACAGCCATACTACCTGACTCTGAAGACTTAAAAACAACATGGTTTGGGGTTAAAACAGTTGCTTACTCGAATATGGATGTAAAAAATGTGTGTTCCCTCCAGCAACCTCTTGACAATAAATAAGATGAGTGACAGACTTCTAGTGCCCACAGATTTCACATAAATTCGAGTAGGAATTTTCAACAAAAAACACAGACTTTTTACACATGATACGAATGCAATTCTCATTTTTATAATATAAATAATTAAAAAGAGGTGTATATGTAATAGAAAAAAAAAACAACATTCCATTGAAGCCCTTCCCAACACACCTTTGAAGTATGGGTAGATAGAGGAAGTATCTGACTGGACGCAGGATGGATTGATGTTCCCACTTAATCGGAATGTTGAGTAGGTCTTTTGCGACTGATTGATAATGAAACATTACTTCATTAGGCTGTTCGTTGACATGCTGTTGTGTAGATTTATACATCCATTAAGGATAATTATTTTAACATATCAATTTTAAAAATTATTTAACATGTATGGCAAATGGCATGGATTGAAAGACGTTTAACCTAGCGCATAGGATATTTAGGCCCCGAGCTAATCCAAATTGTGGGTCCCCCAAAATTTCAAAATTAGGAAAAAAAATGTTCTCTCTTTGAGGGCCCCCATGTGGTCAGGGCCCCGAGTGCTTTAGTCGGTTGTCTCGGCCTCTGCACGGCCCCGGCTCAGTGTATAAATATAAAATTTAAAAGTTATTGCGGTTGTCTTTCAAAGAGTTAACAGTTTCAACTCATCAAACTTGCTATTAAAAAAAATGTGTTGTGTAGCTAAGTTCCTAAGTGGGCGAATGCGTAGTGGTGAATGCCCCTAAATAACAGCTAATTTGTGTAACTAAGTTCCTAAGTGGGCGAATGCGTAGTGGTGAATGCCCCTAAATAACAGCTAATTTGTGTAGCTAAGTTCCTAAGTGGGCGAATGCGTAGTGGTGAATGCCCCTAAATAACAGCTAATTTGTGTAGCTAAGTTCCTAAGTGGGCGAATGCGTAGTGGTGAATGCCCCTAAATAACAACGAAATTCTGTGGCTGTGTTCCTACGTGGGCTAGTGGGCAGTGCTGCATGCAGCCAAAACAAAGGATTAACATTTTTTTAAAAGAAACTTCAACGCTTCCAAGGCCATACGTAATGATATATCAATATTTTTAGGGAACATATTAATTTTGAGGCAACTTACCATCCTCCCTTCAAATAGCGCACTAACTCATAAATTAATAACGTAAAATACATGGAGCAGTGGCGTAGCTAGGGTTAGTGCCACCCTGGGTAGGCCAAGATGTTTCCCGGACATACGGAAAGAACTCTGCCGTTGGCCCAAAATGCCACCCCCAAATATTTAGAAAAAAGTGCCGCTCAGAGCCGACACCCCCCACCCCCTCTGCACCCCCTTCCAGTGACTTGGGGTTAGTTTGACATGAAGAAATTGATGGTCTCATTTAGTATATCTGACTCACGTTCAGTAGTTTATTGTATTCTTTATTATCTCCAGAATCAAGCACGACAACGGTGGCCCCTATCCAGCCAGTGCAGAACTACGCGAACAGTACAGTAAATGAAACAACGGAAGACCTGATTCTTGTGCGGAATGACACGGGCGGAACGACTCATAAGTATCCAGACATACCCGGGATCCCCGCGGAAGTCGCAGGAAATGGCTCAGCATCTGCCCCGCGGACATGCATAATTGCCATGGTCTTATTATTTTTCCAATACGTTATTATTACGGAGATCGATTATCTCTTTTCACTGTGGCCCCTTTAAATTTTGAATTGGCGGATGTTAAATTATTTGAAATGATCTCACAGTGAGCTGTTCAATATTCAAAAGACTTGGTGAACTGAAAAAGTAAAGGAAAAAAAAAAAAAAAAAAAAAAAAAAAAAAACAGAACCAAAAAAAAAAAAAAAAAAAAAAAAATAAAAAAAATAAGAAAAAAAAAAAAAAAAAAAAAAAAAAAAAAAAAAAAAAAAAAAAAAAATCGGAACGAAGACATCAATAATACGAATAGAAAGTTTTCTTTACGAGAAAAGAGACACACACTTCTCCCTACGTCCATTGGTATTTTTTCATGACAAAGGAATGCCACTTTGGCTCTGTCAATATAATATAAGTATACAAACTCACGGTAATACGTCTCAAATACTTAGAATTCTATTTGACAATAAATATTTATGTTATGGGGACCGGTGAAGGTACACGGACCGCCATTTATGGACCACTGCTGTAAGGGGCGCCTTGTTATGAAGGGAAGCACACTACTGAAGTTTTCTATTTCTTGCATTTGTCACACAGTCCATACCTCATAATTGAATATACATATAAAGACTTAATCTTCAGGAAATCCAATCCATTCGTATTGCGAGGCGCCATCCTTATTTTCCACAGTACGTCTGTGTTCAGAAACGATTTGCTGGAATACATTACATGAATGTGATTTTCATGGAGATTTTAAGAAAAAAATATATTGATAAGTTATTTCCCCTTGCTTTCTTTAGAATATTTGGAAATAAATTAATTCATTTCAAATTTAATTATGATATACGTTACATTTATGGTTTTTAAGATGAAGTTAAAAAAAAACTTTTAAAAACAGTTTAAATCAGTGGCGTACCTGGGTGGGCTGAAGAAGGTGACACTTTAGGCGTTTACGCAATAAATTAAAATAAATATTGTAGGTTCTGTGTGTTTTAAGGTCTACTTTGGGGGCTTAGCACGGGGCGGAAATGTAGTCAAGGTACGCCATTCGTGGAACTACATTATATCTATTGTTTTTAAATGATGCAAGATTGTCTTAATACGCATATTAATATGTGTATGTGTTTTAGAGTGTGTACGTGTATTAGTATATGTATTCGCAATGTTATGGAATGAATTCCCCCTTTTAGTGATGTCAATTTATGGTTGTCTAATGCTGAAATATATTTTGAAAATATATTATATCATGACCAAAACTTCATAAAGTTTCCAAGAAGTTGAAGGACACTAAACATTAGAAAAAGGAAAAATAAATTGCAGCACATCCAAACACATGGACAGGACAGTAGTGTTTATTACGGGCACCCCATTTCACCATGCATATAAAGCAGAGGGCTAAGCCCCTACGACAACCCACCAACACACCTTTGACAAAAACTCCAACAAAAAACACCACTGCACAATAGAAAATTTTATGGAGGCTGCAAAGAGCAATTACGTGGGTTTTTGGGGTTTTTTTGGGGATTTTTGGGTGTTTTTGGGGTTTTTTTTGTTGTTTTTTGGGGGTTTTTTTTGGGTTTTTTGGGGTGTTTTTGGGTTTTTTTTTGTTTTTTGGGGTGTTTTGGGTTTTTTTTGGGGTGTTTAGGGGGTTTTTTGGGGTTTTTTGGGGTGTTTTGGGGGGGTTTTTGGGGTGGGGGGGGGGTAGTTGAATTTGAAAATGTCGATTTATTGTTTTAATATGCTCTGGCCCAAATATGTATTTCAAAATATGTTTAAAAATGTTTATAATAAATGAATTATTTCTTTAAATGGATAGTCTAGTTTTATATAATAATGTTATTTAAATAAACATAAAAGATGAAAACATTAGAGTTGTGGTGACGTACGCTGCATGCTTATTTGCTTTTTATTGATAAATAATTGAAGCCGAAAATTTTAGATGACTGCCTGTCTGGGTGTGCATGACTGGTTGACTGAGTGGGCATGACTGGTTGCCTGGGTGTGCTTGACTGGCTGTCAGGGTGTACATGACAGGTGCTTTGGTGTGCATGACTGATTGCCTGGGTGTGCATGACTGATTGGCTGGGTGTGCATGACTGGTTGACAAGTGTGCACGACTGGTTGCCTACGTGTGCATGACTTATTGACTGGGTGGGCATGACTTGTTGCCAGCTTGAGCATGACTGGTAGCGTGGGTGTGCATGACTGGTTGCCTGGGTGGGCATGACTGCTTGCCTGGGTGGGCATGACTGCTTGCATGGTGTGCACGACTGGTTTTCTGGGTGTGCGTGACAGGTTGCTTGGGTGTGCATGATTGGTTGACTGGGTGGGCATGACTGGTTGACTGGTCGGCACGACTGGTTGGCTGGTCGGCACGACTGGTTGCCTGAGTGTGCATGACAGGTTGCTGAGGTGTGCATGACTGATTGGCTGGGTGTGCATGAGTGGTTGCCAGAGTGTGCATGACTTATTGACTGGGTGTGCATGACTGGTTCACTGGTCGGCACGACTGGTTGCCTGAGTGTGTGTGACAGGTTGCTTAGGTGTGCATGATTGATTGCCTGGGTGTGCATGACTGGTTGCCAGAGTGTGCATGACTGGTTGCCTGGGTGTGCATGACTGGTTGACTGGTCGGCACGACTGGTTGCCTGAGTTCGGTTGCATAAAAAGAATGACAGTGATTTTCAATTATTTTACGGTAATCGAATCAATTTAAATATATTAAAAATGAAATATTTCTGCTTATAATTAATTAAATAATTAAGAATTTTTATTACTAAAAAATGGAAATGCCATAAAAACAATAATTAAAGAACTATACCAGTATTTTATCCGAATTTTAAAGTTAAGATACATTTTTATAATGAATAAAGTATCGTCTAAGTATTAATAAAATTAATTCAAAATCACATTTATCGGTAAAACCAAGACAGGTTTGTTTTTTTTTAAAATTGCGTTTTTTATATTGCGAAATTAAATTTAAATGTATATTATCCAAAAGTCTCCAAACACTATCAAATTAAAATTTTCAATTGAACTCAGGGAAAGAAAAATAAAAAAATAATCTAAGTACTGAATTATCATTGAAAACGGAAAATCACGAGTTTTAAGTTTTTCTGGATTTAAATACCACGTGTGACAAAACTGATAATGTCCCCCCCCCCCACACCAAACGCCGGCCTTTAGAGTGTGTGACCCCGTGCCCTCGCACAGGACGTAGTGGCCATAGGGGCGCCTGGGGCGCACATTAAAATATTTAAATTCCCTAAGTTTATTAAGTGTAAACCTTGGGTCCGGGGGTCGAGAAACAGTATTCTAACTTTTCGCACAATCGCTTTTCATATTTTGAGTGTTCATATAATGTAAGCTGCATTCTTAATTTGGATACTAGCACTAAAATGCGTATGGCTAGCTAGACGTATAGCATCATAAAACGTGCTCCATAGCCTACGTCTTAATCGAAAAAATAGCGGAGCCATACAAGGACAGCGAAGGGGGCGCCGAACGGGTGCCTCGGACAGGGCGAAAATTTACCTGAGGCCGACGTTGCCCCACCCCGTTTATAAAAGGAAATATAATGGGCTGCTTGTTAAATTGTTAACACACCACGCAGAAACTGAGCTCTTCAACAGTCCTTACTGAGAGTTCCCAGTGTGGATGGACACAGAAAGAACTCACATGGAGTGCGCTCTTTTGAAGTTATATCTAAATTGTGGAACAGTTTGCGTCAATCTTTGAGGGGAATTCAAAATGATAAAAATTCATCCAAGAACCATTTAACGACTTTTTTCTTTATATAGAGTTTTCTACATCAGAGCGCTGTGAGCGTGCTAAAATAGCGTGGATATAAGCGCTATAAAAGTACTCCATCATCATCATCATCACACCAAAGTTTTGGCTTTTTTTTTTTCTCCATTTTTTATATAAATTACATCGAATAAGTTTGACTTATTTTACATTAAAAATTTTTGCTTTTATTAAATTTAGAGATTGACAAAAACTTAACGTTTAAAAATATTGTTTTATAAGAAAATACCGCTCAAGACGTCATTACTTGCAGCGAAACTTCAAAGCCAATTACCACTCACGAGTTCCCTTATCACTCATCCAAATGGGTACAAACCATATGAAGTAGCGACTGGTTCATTTCGACAACAACATCTCAAAGCCAAATTATATTACGTTTTGGAACTTTGGTATAGTACTTAAAAATAAATAACCTAGAGACTTTCAAATTTTAATAAAATTCAGAGGGCGTGCAAAAAATGTGCGGTGGCCAGTGGCGTATGTAGGAGGCCGCCATCCAATGGGGGATTTTGTTAGTGTTTCTTAAAAACTCTGTGTGTGTGTGTGGCCGGGGGGGGGGGTTAGGGGTGGTATTCGATACTTTCATTTTACACCAGGCAGCACAGGATACGCCTAAGAATGAAGGAGCGAATCTGAGAAATAATTCACCTTCTTCGTTAAAAAAATAGTCAGAGGGATGGAATAGGTTGTATATGCATTTCAATGTGGAGAACAATATTTTAAAAAATCAATTTATATTGTAATCGTGAAAAAGAGGTGTTAGTTTTTATTTTAAAATAAATAAAGGCGCGTTATAGATCTATCAAAAACCGCGGTCTAACGATTGTGACATATTGTGACATATTGTGACATATTGTAACATATTGTGACATATTGTGACATATTGTGACATATTGTGACATATTGTGACATATTGTGACATATTTTGACATATTGTAACATATAGTGGACACATTTACATAAGGACCTATCCTTGCCTGAAAACTAAATATAAGTTGGAAAGGGGGGGGGGGGGACAAATATTGATAACGTTTTTGTTTAAAATAAAGGACATTTTAGTTTTTAATTTTTTCAAAANATTACGTGCCTTATCATTTATGTGATTGTAGCAACTGATTTTTGGTATGGGGATGGTGTTTATCAAACATAATCCATGTAAAACCTAATAGAATAAATATATATTTAATGCTAAATAGGTCACCAATACAAAGCACATAGTAACAGCTACACAATTAATCTCCACTCCAAAATTGAACACATCTTATTTCATTCATCTTCCCCTTGAAAAACAAGAAAAACGGATTTTTCGGGGTTGGGGCTGAAAATTTGATAGAATGTGTTGTCGTCGCAACGAGTCTCTGTGCCAAGTTTGGGGTCGTTGGCTTGACGGGAAGTGGGTCAGTTAGCCGTGCGAAGATTTTGTCAGGCAGTCAGTCACCCAAGAACAAAAGTGAAGTTAATATAAAGGATTTTAAAATTTAGTGTAAATATTTCGTGAATTGATATTAGAAAATATGAAAGAAACAGAACGAAGGTGTGGACATTTTTGTGTGGATAACAATATCCAAATACCCAAACAATTTACTGACGTGGAAATTTAATCTTTAAAAAACGATGTTTAAAAAATGTGATTACCAGGAAAAAAAATAAGTAAATTTCAGGGGCGTGAACAAGTAGGGTTTAAGGTTTTCTTTAAAAAAAAAATAACGAAATTCATTTGACATTTTGCTCAAAATATAGTTAAGGTGGTTTGGACATTGTATGAGATAAAGAATAGTTTAAAAAAAAAAAAAAAAAGGACCATTAGACTTAGCCTAATAATTGGATTAGAGATTCTTCTTGAAATGTAAGAATTTCGTTTTAACGATTTTCCGATAACGTAGTCCAGGAGCGAATTATTGATTGGGCCCATTTTTAACGATAGTACCATTATACCCAAATCCCGTAAATGCTACGGATATATAAAATGGTAAATAGCATTAACTATAAATTATTTTTTAAAGTAAGGATAGTTTTTGTGTGTTTTTTTTGTTTTTTTTTTTTCTTTGGTGTTTTTGTGTGTGTTTTTGTGTGTGTTTTTGTGTGTGTTTTTGTGTGTGTTTTTGTGTGTGTTTTTGTGTGTGTTTTTGTGTGTGTTTTTGTGTGTGTTTTTGTGTGTTTTTTGTGTGTGTTTGTGTGTGTGTTTGTGTGTGTGTTTTTGTGTGTGTTTTTGTGTGTGTTTTTGTGTGTGTTTTTGTGTGTGTTTTTGTGTGTGTTTTTGTGTGTGTTTTTGTGTGTGTATTTTTGTGTGTGTTTTTTATACAATTTTTTAGGAAATATGTTTTTTTTGGTGTAATTTAGAGGCCTGAAAGATTGTTGGGCTGCCCTACATTATTGAAAAGAAAATAATTCTCAAAACCCAATGATGTGACAAACGTCAATATCTGTACATATTTTTTAAAAATTAAAAATGTCTATGTAGCTATTTGTTAAATGTACAACACAAGGGTGCTTAAATTGATCATATTATTTGTTTGAAGATACAAAACATCAAAACTAGATTCAGTTACGTAAGGACAAAAAATTGATTTTTTTTTTTTAGACGTTGAGACTTGACCAGAACATATGGAAAGTAGCGCCATATGCCTTCCATTTTTATCCCGCTAACACCGGGTCAGAAAATACCAGGATAACTCTGCACATGGAGATGTTCCATTCGTCCCTTGCACCCACTGCACAAGATCATTTCGTACCAGGAATCGGTCTCATCAGTCCTCTGCTCAACTAGAGATAGAATCAGCACCAATCGGATGATATTAAAATGGTCATAATCGATTTCGACGGACGAACTCTAATACAAAATATGATAAATAATTTATAGGTGTCAATATGGGGGGGGGGGGGTGGACAAAATACTCTTTATATTGTAAATTATTATGGAATTAAAGGAAAAATCCCATGACTTTACAAAAAAACAAGAGGGGGCAAAAATTGTGTCACTACAGCACCGTCCCGGTCGGCACTCTCTTCTCTCGATATATTGCTGGGCGACATTTTCGGGCATCGCCCCAGGCGCCGCTTTTCCTCGGCATCGCCCCGCTATGTACATATAACAAACTTAGCTTTATCCTTTCATATATCTAATTAATCAACATTGACTAATAGAAAGTACTTACTCAATTTGTAAATACTGTATTCT